ATGAAAGTTCACTTATGGCAAAGCTGGTTCCCGGAAGGAAAAACCATGGTCTTTAAGATCCATGTGTAGATCCATGTGTAGGCCCCTGCTCTAATGTTTGAAAATTATATCTGATGACTTAAAGAAAAAAAAGGTATGATATCTTCAATATCATGAAAGACATTGAGCCATAGTTATTTTTATTCAGTTCATTTCTTCATGCAATGGCAAAATACTATAATAAAAATTATGTGCATAAAATATTCAGAGTACCTCAAGTTTGCAACCCCTGAAGTAGTCAAGATGGTGAACATAACTAATGCTCATTCATTCTCCTGTTTTCCCCCTAACAAAAACTTAGTGACGTGAGAAAGAGTAACTGGCCCAAGTCATCCAACCTGCTTTCATGCCTAAGGCAGGACTAGGACTCACAGTCTTCAGGTTTCTAGTGTGCTACCTTAACAACTAGACCAAACTAGGTCTTGAATCAATCCCAAAAGTTGATATTAAATATTAAAGGTCAACATAGTGATTCAAAATTTGAGTATTAGTTATACAAAATTATATAATCAAGAGTTAATCTTCAATGCCCAAGAAATTGCCTACAAGATGAATGTAATATCCCTCTTGCTTAAAGGACCTTTCTTACACATTAAGAAAGTTGTTGTGAATTCCTTAGAGAAGAGTAATCGTAGGCTAGTTGCTAACCTACTATAATTAAGGGGACTAAGAAAATGAAGGTAGGAAGCATTTATCTGGCTCATTTTTAGCTGGCTTCAAGAAACTACAGATATGAGATAACATTGGTCAGTCTGATGGACTATCTTTGGGAATTGTTAGGAAAAATATATTGGTTCTTTCTAAATTCTAAGCAGTTTTTAATTTCACTGACCATTTTTCTGGATCACAAAGAGATTTGGGAATAGAAATTATGGTTTTGCATTCAGATATCACTTGCAGTCAGTTGCTCCTAAAAATGATAACCATATACTATGATGTCCCTAGGATTCCACTCTATCCCTAATGTTTTTCAATATGTTTGGGGAGATCATAATCAATATGGCATTATGCTAGCAATTGTCAGTTTTGGAAGACAATTACAAATTAGATCTTTGGGAAGAAATAAATCTCTAGGAGTCTCTGGAGGCTGGGGACAGCAAAAAAGGTCACTTCCTGTCCAACCAGGAATTGGGAAAAGGGCCATTTCAGGCCTCCAGAGGGCCTCCGAGGAGGTGGGGAAGGCTGTTTTCGCCCTCCCCAGATGCATAGACAGGATCTGGAGCCAGGTGAGAAAGAAAAACGGGCCTTCCCCACCCCTCCCCAGGCCCTCCAGAGGCAGGAAACAGCCTGTTTCTCTACCTCTGGCGGGCCCAGAAGGCCTGAAAATCAGTTGGCTGGCACACGCATGCCCCCCAGAGCTGAGCTGGCGTGCCCACTGATATGGCTATGCAAGCCACCTGTGGCACACATGCCATAGGTTTGCCATCACGGTTATAGGATATGCTGCAAGGTAAGGGACAAAAGAGAAATTCAGGATTTTTACACACCTCATAATGCTGTAAAAATAGAAGATGAATAAATGCCCATTACTAGCAATTGCTATTAACTAATTTGCTTGGCCTATTTTCTGTTGTTGATTAAGAGATCATACCCCAATTACAATTAGAATCAATCTGAGACAAATGATAAGACAAATTGTCTTATCTTTATATTTTATTGTCTTATCTTTATATTTTATGCCTTGAAAGCATGAAGAAAATAAGAAACTTCATTAACTTGTCATATTTATTATCACTCTTATGGGAAGATTCTGTATTTTTTTAAGCAGGCATGTTATTTTTAGTCTTTTCTTCAGCTAAATTGTTGAGTAGCTTCAGAGACTGGGATCAGAGATTACTGCATTCAGAATACTAAGTATTGGACCATTAATCCCATTAATGACTAATTTATCCATTAAAATCAATGGAGTGTCCCTGTGAATCTCCTCACCACGGACAATGTAAATGTTATAGTTTGTTCTGCTTAATGTAGGAAAAGCAGAACATTCGTAATCTTATCACATATGAGCCCTGTGCAGACTTTCTAAAATCATTTTTAAGTGTTTATTTTTCTAATTTGAGTGTGGAATTGAAAGACTGCTTGTGCTATAAATATCTGTTATCTTCCAATAATTAGAAGAAAGTTGTGGGGCAGAGAAAAAAAACCTGAAGGTTATAGTTGGGTCTAATAAAATATCACCCTCTCAGAACAAGAAAGATAATATTCTCATCCCAATTTGTTTTCTTTTGAACAGAGAGGCGTTAGCTTTCAATGGCCTTGCACTTCTTAATTTGTGTCGCAACCCTAATATTACTTAAACATAGATTTTCATACTTAATGTTAATGGAAGGCAGCATGAGCTGTCTAAATAGTGCATTAGAAAGAAATGATAGATTACAGGGCTTCATATCCATTCACTAATAAAAATTATCTGGATTCTCCACGTCCATTTTCTCATACAAGGCACAAAAGTTTCATTTTTTACAAGTCTGTCAAAATATAGTTACTTTAAACACCTAGACAAGCAAGTTGAATTAATCTGATTTCTTAGTTTTACCCCATGTGTATTTTCCTTCCCCATTATGAAGCTCTGAAGAAAAGTATTTGAAACATACTTAAATTGTGTGTATTCCTAGAGTAGAAGAAATGAAATAGATAACATGATTCATTTTATAAGGCCAATTAAAGCTATTCAGAATTTCCATATTGGAGTAGTAGATAAACCAGAGTAAATAAATAAATGTTAGGCTGAGACTTACAAATGCTTTCCCCAATCTTTTTAAGATGTGTACTCCCACAATAAAGTGGCTTGGATTATAAAACAAAGTATGAAAGTAGCAACATTTGTTATATATGACTTAGGGAAACAATAGTAAATTTATTTATTTATTTATTGGTTCGATTTATATGCCGCCCTTTTCTGGAGACTCAGGGCAGCTTATAATGCGCTAAGCAATAGCCTTCATACTTTTGTAAATACCTGCTTAGTAGGGCTTTCGGGGGGGGCAAGCGGTGTTCTTTTTTATACAAAGTCATCTTATTGCCCCCACAATCCAGGTCCTCATTTTACCTACCTCGAAAGGATGGAAGGCTGAGTCAACCTTGAGCCTGGTGAGATTTGAACTTGCAGTAATTGCAGGCAGCTGGTGTTACTTAAAGCACTTAACAGTGCTTTAGTCTGCTGCGCCACCAAGGCTCTTTGTAGCATTAAACCTGTTTGCTTATAAATATGTCCTATTGAGTATGCCTATTTCGAGGTAAGTAGGACTTTAGAGCACTATTCTACAAGCTGTCCAGTGGTGGGTTGCTCCTGGTTCTGTCCAGTTCTATAGAACCGGTAGTAAAACCGGTGGGAGGCTCTGCCCACCCACCACGATGTCATCATGGGTGATCTGTGCACACGCAGAAGCACGTGTACTCCTGCTGCAAAAGGTAGTAAAGGTAAGTGGAACCCACCCCTGAAGCTGTCCCATAGTTTAAAACATAAGAGAAGGCCCAACCCTTCAATAGAAACCCTCCTCCTCCTCCTCCTTCTCTTCAGTATAACCTGTATTAATATATTGATAGATTGTGTAAACAATATAAAATTTATCAAAGCATACACACTACACACACATGCCTGAGTATTCAAGTGCTGAATCAGTGAATATGTAGCAAATTTGATTATAGTAACAGACAAGATGAGAAATTATGTCAATCTGTTGACTTAATACAAATAAGAAAGGCATTAAGGTTCCTAGAGCAAAAGTTACTCATTTTTGATACATTTCAAGAAGTTATCCTATTAATATCCAACATTGTGATCATTCAGACATGGAGGACAAGGTAAAGGTAAAGGTTCCCCTTGCACATATGTGCTAGTCGTTCCTGACTCTAGGGGGTGGTGCTTATCTCTGTTTCAAAGCCAAAGAGCCAGCACTGTTCGAAGACATCTCCATGGTCATGTGGCCGGCATGACTAAACACCAAAGGTGCACAGAACACTGTGGTGGTCCCTATTTTTCTACTTGCATTTTTTATGTGCTTTCGAACTGCTGGGTTGGCAGAAGCTGGGACAAGTAACGGGAGCTCACCCCGTTTCATGGCACTAGGGATTCAAACCGCTGAACTGCCGATCTTTTGATTGACAAGCTCAGCATCTTAGCCACTGAACCACCTTATTACTCAGAGGGGGGGGTGGAGAAAGCTACCTGCCTACATAAAAACTAATTGCAGTAACAAAGGAAAGGAAAGTGAAATAGCAAATTATTTACTTCCTAACTAATAATAAGTAGGATCCTGACAAACATAAACTTTTAAAATTCATAATAGATTCATTTGATGATCCATGCATCCCTCTCCAGTAATGTTTGACTGCACATCTAAATCTGGGATAAGTGACTTTTGAAAACTGGTGGGCATACTTGTGATTTTGATGCCATGGTGTGGTTGCTCACACAAAATGGCTGCTCTGGCAAATATACAGCCAGACATCGAACAGTCATTTATGAACATAGGAGAATGAGGCAGTTGCTTCCCACCACTTTGAAACAATCCTCTGGACAGAAGCCAACCATCATTTTCATTTTTTAATAGTCTAGGTGGGTTTCCGCAGCCGGGGGGATATACATTTCTTATTTATCTATATTTATAATAAAGATAATGCTGGAGCACCATAAGCAAAATACAAAGAAAGTACAGTGCAGTAGAAAACATGGTAAATTCAAGGATTAGGAATAACCTGTCGGCCAAACAATAATTGCAATGTGTGCTTTATGCCAGCCTATAACTAAAACCTAATTACATAAAATAGACAACAGTGATCATGATTTAAGCATGCTTTGGGATTGTTTAAAGAGAGCGTAAAATGTAATTAAATTCAACTAAACCCAGAATGAGAGATACATCTGGTTCCTTAGGTAAGTGTTTGGCAACGAAACCCGTCAGCTTCAGCATTTCTGTTTCTAACCTAGACATGTAAAATAAATGGTGCAAGACTATAGCTAGAGATACTCTCTTTATTGTTTCTGTTCGCAGAAATTATTCCTGAAGGATCTCTTCGTGAGATCTTCCCAACATCTGCCTCTGCAGTCTGTTCTGTTTCGGTTTGTTTTTAATGTTTTTCTTCCATCTGGGGAGAAAAAGAACACATTAAAAATACAATAAAATGTACATACACATTTGTTCTGCCACTCTGAACTAAGTAATGGACTAAATGGTTTTAATTTAAGTGACAAATTGGTACAATAATGCAATGTATGACCTCAGAGACTCCATCAACTGCTGACCCTTCGGAAGGGAAAAGTTGTAGAGGGAACTCTTCTCCCATTCTCCCTTTTGTAAATCCTATTTTGTAATTTAACAGTGAACTTTTTGCTTCATTTGTTTTTTCTTCGAGCTCTTGCAGATATCACTTTAGGCAGCAGACGGTACTGTAGTGGCCTTGTGCCTCTGAGATTGTGATTCTGACTTCCGCAAATTCAGGATCAAATGTTCTGTCTTCAACCACTCATGAATGACAGACAGAATATATAACATGAGAATGTTGTTAATGTTTCAGTGATCTAATTCCCTGAATAGAATCATTGTTGCTTCCCAGTATAGTTTTCACTGTCCCGGCTGAAGAAATAAATTGGAAAGGAGTGTGTGTGCAAAGAACTTGTCTGAAACGCTTGTTCTTTTCACATCTGGCCTTTTGGTGAGAAAGTGACATTAAACAATTGAGGCTTAATAGTACAAGCCTGTCTTCGGCAACATCATTAAAAAAGCTAACATTTCCAAGTATATGGACTATAAATACACAGAGAGATTCAAATGGAAGAGAACATTAGGTTATACACCATATAAAATGCCATTTGTCTTCATCTGACAAGTCCCTCTTTACCACATGAAGTGTCTGCTGAGTGTCTTTTTTTAAAAAAAAATCTCTCTCACGACCTGTTTCCACTTTTAAAAATTATGAAGAACCCGTAAAGAGCTTTAGTTTGTGTTGTATTTATCAATATTTACCATATTAAATATTAAATATAAATGCATTTGCTGCTGATGCTGCTTTTCACAATTTTTGATGGGATTTTTAATATTGTATTATTTTTCAATATAAACTGGCAAATAATTTTGATTTTGAGGACTTCTGAGAGGGTCTTAGGGAACCGCAGAGGTCTTAGAATCACACATTAAGAAATACTGTGCCTAAGAAATGAAATTTGCCTTTTTCAGGCTGATGCCATCCAAATACATTAAGTATTCATAAATGTAATGGCCCAGCTGTTTAATGAAGTACAGGAGTCAAACTCGCACAATGTTTTAAGCAGTGGTGGAATTCAATTTTTTAAATTACCGATTCTGTGGGTGTGGTTTGGTGGGCATGGCAGAGGAAGGATACTGCAAAATCTCCATTCCTTCCCCACTCCTGGGGGAAGGATATTGCAAAATCTCCATTCCCACCCCACTCTGGGACTAGCCAGAGGTGGTATTTGCTGGTTCTCCAAACTACTCAAAATTTCCACTACTGATTCTCCAGAACCTGTCAGAACTGGCTGAATAGCACCCCTGGTTTTAAGATGCCAAACTAGAAGAAGCTGAGTTAGACTTAAGAACTTGAAAGGAACAAAGTAGAAATTATAAGATACATCGCCTTATTCTACAAACAAGTCTCTCAACTGGTGCTTCCTGCTGGGTCTGAATGAAAGAGAAGAAATTAGCTGTATAGTATCAGAGAATACTGAAATAATTTCATTGGTGGAAGAATCACATTAACAAAGAACATTTGGCAGTTCCCTCTCCTCAGATTTTTTTAGGCCATATTTAGGAAATGGTTGAGAATAGACACAAAAAAGGCTTTTTCTGTTCTAAGTTTCTGTTCCAGACACTCTTAGAAAAAACATACTTGAAGGTTGAAGCTTCTTCTGGATAACATAGGATATGACAAGAACAGCTACTAAGTTGAGAAGGTTTCTCTCTCTCTCTCTCTCTCTCTCTCTCTCTCTCTCTCTCTCTCTCTCTCTCTCTTTTGTAAATTTAACTTAATTTGGGATTATCACTACCTCCAATAGTGATCTCTACATCTAAAGCTACCTTAAATATAAGGCCCATTTGACTCTCAAGAGATGTTCTTCAAGATCACATTCTGCATGGTGAACATGGGAATTTTTAAATTGGGTGTTTGTTAGTTTTTAAATTTTGTGGACCAAATTTTATATATTTGTTTTTTAAATTGTTCTTAAATTTTGTGGTTTATATGTGTTTTAATATGGCTGTACACCTCCCTGAGTCCTTTGGGAGAAGGGCGGTATAGAAGTGCAATAAATCTAAATGTGTAAAAGCAAAGGAATTTTGAGTGCAAATATATGCGATCATGCAAAAGTTAGTGTGGAGTGGGTGCGGTGGCCTAGAGATGGAGCTCTCGCCTCACAATCAGGAGGCTGTGAGTTCGATTCTAGGTAGAAGCAGATATTTCTCTCTCTCTGGGCACAATGAGAATATATATGCATTGGTGACAGGAAGAGCATCTGTCCATTATACATTCTGCTAGCTCCATTCAGTTGCCCAGACTCCACCCCTCAAGGGATTATGGGGTTGTTAAAAGAAGAAGAAGATGATGATGATGCAAAAGTTATGGTGGATTAACATTACATTGGAACCATAATTATTTCTATTGGGGTTTATAGATGTTGAACTAGGAAAGAAATATAAGAAATTAATATTGTACCTGGTGTATGTATGATAAATAAAATTGATGGAGTTTGCAGAAATGGCAAAACTGACCAGTTTGGTCAGGGAAAAACTGCTAAGGGCATTTTTGAAAGACTAGAAACCCTATATGGACCCTTTCTGATGAAGAGGAAACATCTGAATTGATGATTTATGGATTTGGAGATTAAAAAAGAGTTAAGAGGGAGGGGGAAGGAATAAGTTGGCAACTACTAAACAGAAAAGGGACACGTCTTAGTTCTAGGCTGCCTTCCTCCCTCCCTCTTTCACATCTTATATTTTATATTTTATCTTCTCTTTTTATTATTTTTATTTTATTTTTTTACACACAGAGAGAGAGAGGCACACTTGCACACACACATATACACATACAAAAATACTATTTTTTTTTAAAAAAAGATCACAGATCACAGTCTGAGAGAGAAGTGGGAAACTTAAAATATCTTGGCATCTAAGCTAGAAGCACTTTCTCAGAATCATAGGATACTGTGACTATATTCACATGAAAGAAAGAACTTTTGTATAATCCTGCTTAACTTTGAAGTTGTGCTTGCTTGATTGTATTATGAGATAGTGATAAGAGCATGTCTACAAGCCCTTTCCAACATTCATGCATATTGTTCAGTGTGCCTTCAATAGTAACTCAGGATTCAGCATTGTCACAACTGGTAATTAAGTCTCAGTGGTTAAGAATCATTTCTTAGCATTTTGATGATAAGTATCACTACATTATTTCGAGAACTGTTTTCATTTCATGAAAGTCTGGATGACTAAGAGCTCTTTATTATCCTTAAACCGATAACATAATTTTATTAAGCTAAAAGTTTCAAGCTATGAATTTTAAAAAATAAATATTTCCATGTTCTTGCTGTCATTCTACTAGTTATAATAAGTTTCCTATGCCAGATGAAAGCGTTGCAGAATATGTTGATTCAAGTTCAAAAACTATCTCTTGTATTGTTTAATTTTAATGTTATATCAAAACACAAAACATATAATATTAGAAATATCACACTACGGTTGCATACGTTTCCTAATAAATTCAAAATCCCAAGTATTTTGTTCCTTTCATTGTATAGAACATATTTCAACTGTTTATTTTTACTGCAATTTTCCAAACTTTTTTCAACAAAGCAGTGATCAAAACTGTGCATAGCTTTCTAAATTTGACTGCATTGTAGTCTGACATAAAACAATATACCAAGTCAATTTTTTCCTCTTGCAAAAGAATCTAATAAGACCTTTGTCTTCCTTTGTCATTCCATTAAAAAAAACCCTGATATTTTAGGTCCCAGACGTTGTGAAACCATTGATATTCTAATCTGGGTCAACCACTTCAAGCTACCCTCTTCACTCCATTCCTTAAAAATGCTAATGCTCATATCAGCAGAAAATGGCTGATATGAGAGCTGCCTTTTAATTTCCCATAATATCCCTGAGGTTCATTATATCATGCCTCTGTGGGAGATTTAAAGAGCTAATTATAATGCTGCTGCTGCTCCTCACCAATAGCATCATAATGATGAAATTAACCAGCCAAATTTTATTCAAATAGCATGGAACCATTAGGTGGTTTTCCCTAAAACTTTTAAGGAGCACAAATATTAATTGTGACCCTTTCCCTTGCAAAATACGCTTGGATCTAGCATACAACTTTATTGAAATTTGCAAAGACATCCTGTAGAATATTGGAATGAAATCTGTGTTCAAGGACCTCCATGTCTGCCAGACTCTCATGACCTTACTTGCAAAGATATGATGGATGGGATGAGATGGGATGGGATGGGGATGGGATGGGATGGGGTGGGATGGGATGTGGATTGGATGCAATGGGATGAGATGAGATGCGATGTGATGCGGTGTGATGCAATGTGATGTGATGTGATGTGACATGACATGCAGCCGCGCGGGGGATTATGGGGGCGACGAGGCGCTCCCATGTGACACCTCTCCTGCGCGAGCTGCACTGGCTCCCGGTAGTCTTCCGGGTGCGCTTCAAGGTGTTGGTGACCACCTTTAAAGCGCTCCATGGCTTAGGGCCGGGGTACTTACGAGACCGCCTACTGCCACCAATAGCCTCCCACCGGCCAGTACGCTCGCACAGAGTGGGCCTCCTCAGGGTGCCGTCCGCCAGACAATGTCGGCTGGCGACCCCCAGGGGGAGAGCCTTCTCTGTGACGGCGCCCACCCTCTGGAATAACCTTCCCCCGGAGTTACGTATAATAACAGACCTCCGGATTTTTCGTCGGGCCCTGAAAACTTATTTATTTCAACTAGCTGGGCTGGCTTGAGCTAAATTTTAAATTGGTTTTAAATTGGGTTGTTTTAATTTACGGCCAGAATATCTAATTATTTTAATACTGTTTTTTAAATTTTGTATGTTTTGTTTTTACTTAGGCTGTGCACCGCCCTGAGTCC